ATCACTGATTTATTTGAGCAGTGTTTTGTAATTCTTGTTATACAGACATTTCACCTTCATGGCTAGCTGTATTCCTGAACAATTTATTCTTTTTGTGGCTATTGTGAATGGAATTGTATTGTTGATTTAGCTCTCACCTTGGAGGTTGTTGGTGTATGGAGGTTGTTGGTGTATGGGAATGCTGCTGATTTTTGTACCTTGAATTTGTATCCTGAAATTTTGCTAGTTTGTCAGATCAAGGAGCTTTTGGGCAAATACTATGGGCTTTTCTAGGTATAAAGTCTATCTTTTCCTCTGCAAATGGTTGACTTTGTCTTCCTAGTTTGATGCCTTTGATTTTTTTTACTTGCCTTATGGCTCTGATCAAGACTTCAAGTACTATGTTGAATAGGATTGGTGAGAAAAGTCATCCTTATCTTGTTCTGATTCTCAAAAGGAATATTTCCAGTGTTTGCTTATTCAGTATGATGTTGGTTGTGGGTTTGTCATAGATGGTTCTTATTTTATTGAAGTGTGTTCCTTCAATGCTTGGTTTGTTGAGAGTTGTTATTATGAAGAGATTTTGAGTTTTATCAAAATCCTTTTCTACATCTATTAAGATAATCACATGAGTCTTGTTTTTAGTTCTGTTTATGTAATTAATCACATTTATTAATTTGTATATATTGAATGAAGCTTCAATCCCAGAAATAAAACCTACTTGATTGTGATGGAGCACCTTTTTGATATGCTGCTGGATTTGTTTTGTGGTGCAATTTATTAATTTGTAATTACTATATTTTGTTAACTGAGATAAGTTAAAAATATGAATTAATTTGTATAAGTTAGGGAAGGCATTTTTTAAAAAAGTGCCATATTTGCTGAAGTAAAAAACTGTAATTCACAATGGTATATTTAATTATTGAATTTATCCTTCACTTTTTATTAATACATACAGTATTCTTGGTGAACTGGAGGATGCTTTTAAATTAAAAATGAATTAATAATACTAATTTCAAAGAATGTTTGTCTTAGACAAGTAGTTCTGAGGAAAGAGACCCAAGCGTCTAAGATCACCTCCCCCTTGACTTCCATACTCCATTTCAATAGAAGAAAAGGCAGATAGCAGGCATGATATGGGGGAATCTTTCCAGAAGGCATTGTTTTTACTTAAACAAGATGAAACCCCCACCCTGCTCCTGCTCCATGGACCAAGACCCTTTCACATGTAATTTATAAAACTGAAAACCCAAGACCCTTTCACATGTAATTCCTACAACTGTATACCCAAGACCCTTTCACATGTAATTTCTAAGGCTGTAAACCCAAGACCCTTTCACATGTAATATCTAGAGCTATAAGCCTATGTAAAGGCAGAGCTTCTCTTTGTTAGAGGAGCTTGGCTGTTAGACAACTATGTCATCTTGCTCCCAGCCTAATAAATCACGTTTTCCTTCCTAATTCAGTGTCCCGGGGGTCTGTTTCTTGCAGCCGCTCCTGCTTCAATTTCATCTTCCTGTTTGACATAGACCTTGTTATTTAAAAATGTGTATTAAAATAAAACAGGAAACTGCTGAGAGATTATCTAAATCCTTTGAAAATGTAGTTTTATTAAATTGTATTTACACATCATTCTAATGTATTCATTTTTTTAGAAAAAAAATCCAAGTGGCAAGATATTTTTATGCAATATTTCCTCTGAGGAGTCACTGCAAACCATATAGTTAGCCTATAAGCAGACAGGGAGGGTTTCCAGAGATTATAGGCCTTTACTGAACCAGAGCTATCAGCCTGTTTTAGAGCCTATGCCCTGCAGGCTATTTTTCCCCAAACACTGTGTGGAATGTGATCACTTTGTTGGTTGGAACCATCTTCTGACAGACCCTGGCAACTTATAGATGGAGCCAAGTGAACTTTCCTCATTACCATCCTAAAGTCTCCAGGCCCAGAAAAGCTACAGCTTCAGTATCATGACATGTAACCTATGAGTTGGCATAATTGCTCACTGTGTTTTGCACTACTGAAACCCTTCCTTTACATGTGATGATGCATCCTCTCCCCTGTCTCCCCTCTCATAAAACTCTCTTGTCATTTTCCCTCAGAAAGACACTGCTTCGGAGAATAGTTCCTGTGTCCTCCTAACTTGTGCCAGGTAATAAAACTTCTATTGATCAAACCCTGCCTTCTCATGAAGAGTCATTTGTTACCAGGCAAATAAACCCCACTTTTTGGGGGTTAATAAATCAAACATCTCAAACTATAGTACTTATGTAAATTATGTCTCCTTAACTTATTATAGCACTGATGGAGCTACTTTAGCATAATTCAGAAATTATATATTGAAATTCTTCTATTAGAATATTTTAGTAAGTCAATTTTAGGTATTAAGCTGTATGTAGGTATTTATTTAAAAATAGGGTGGGCATGTCCTTAATATATAAATTTACATTAATTTTTTCTTATCCTAGGTAATTTAAATCACAATTTTCTCAGTTCCATATCTCAACTTAAAGACTATTTTAATTTAAAATTATGTTAATTCATTATTTCCATTTTTGCTATTATATTATAAAATAACATTAAGTAGCTTATGTTATCAAATTAATGTCTTTTGTGTTATCTTATTTCTCTTGTATTTAATATGGTAATTACTTTAAAACCTGATTATGTGTTTTGTTTTCTTGGGAAATCATAAAAGCTGTATCTATGTGCATTTACTTTATAATAAATAGAGATACAAAACACAAGCACATATAAGAATAACTACAGAATGACATATGCATGAAGTTTTCTTTCAGTATATAATTTTAACATTTCATATCTTATACCCTACTGATTTTAACAAGTGGGCACCAGTAATTAGAGCATATGGACTATTCTGATTGGTGAGGTCACTTTGGCTGCTATAGATACTGTGCTGGCCTGTATGTATTTTGAATATCAACTCTTCATATGATATATAGTAAATCCAAAAAGACATAACTGCTTAACCATATATATATCACAGTAGATATCCAGTCTCTAGTTAACATTTATTGAGTGCTAGTACACAACAGAAATGGTGGTAAGTGCTTTTCATTCATTAGTTTATTCCATCTTACAACTCCATGAGGTACTTAGGAAACTTTCAAGGGAAAATGGAAGCCCCAGAGATTAAACTGTGCAGAACTAGATAGATAATAAGCAGGGGGTTGAAATTCTACCATTGTTTAATACCAAAACTCGTATGGTTTTAAATGCAAACTATCAAACAATAGACCATATTCATTGAATAACTGCATCCTCTTCCATGATTAGGAATCTGACTGACTAATTGGGAAGTTTCAGCAATAGCTGCTGGAACTCTAACTCAGTTGCCACTTCTGAGACAGGATGCAGGCATGAATTGACTATTATAGCAGCTTGCATGAGAACTACATAGGTGCTGTAATATACATCAGCAAATTCAACGTATCATACATGAGACAGCCATGAAGCCAATGACTATGCACCACGACTATTTGCACTGGACCTTAAAAGACCAGTAAAAATATTCCAGGAGGGTGAAGCCAGGAGGGGATCATAGACTGAGGAAACCATGTTTACAACAGTAAAAAAAAGAAAGGCATAAAAATTATGTGTAGCTTATTTTGTAGAAGCATAAATAGATTGGGTCAATAATAGCTGGGGGCAATGCACAGATTTGGAATGGCACTTTATAGTACTTTGCTTTTGTTTTAGGAGAAATTAGAAGCAGGTAAAGTCTTTAAAAGTAAAAAATAGGCTGGGTGCAGTGGCCCACTCCTGTAATCCCAGAACTTTGGGAGGCTGAGATGGCCGGATCACAAGGTCAGGGTTTCCAGACCTGACTGACTAACATGGTGAAATCTCATATCTACTAAATATGCAAAAATTATCTGGGTATGGTGGCTCACTCCTGTAATCCCAGCTACTCAGGAGGATGAGGCAGGAGAATCATTTGAACTCAGGAGGCAGAGGTTGCAATGACCCGAGATCATGCCGCTGCACTCCAGCCTGGGGGACAGAATGAGATTCTGTCAAAAAAAAGAAGTAAAAAATAAAAATATGCCAAATCCTGCTATAAAAACTCAATTAGGATGATATTAGAGATCAAAAGAGTTTTAAGTAAATTTTAATATTCTTCCTAACTTGTAGGTTTACTCAATATAGCATGTATATGTATAGTAAATGAGCTCTGGAAAGAGAATCATAAGCCAATTAGAAAACTTCCTTAGAAAAATAAATTTGGAATTATTAAATTATACTCATTCTTATGGTTTACTGAAAAATGCTTAGACTTTATTAACTGTTGTGCAGTTTGAATCTTCATGTTGATAATATAACATGCAGCATGTTTTATAATTATTTACCCAGAGAAATACATTCCTTACAGCATTTGGGGACCAGTATTTCATGAAACAGACTTTTGGATATATTGATCTAAGTCATTGATTTTCACAATTATTTACAGACTCCTTGAAAAAATGTATTAAAAATTTGGGGGCCGGGCGCGGTGGCTCACGCCTGTAATCCCAGCACTTTGGGAGGCCGAGGTGGGTGGATCATGAGGTCAAGAGATCGAGACCATCCTGGTCAACATGGTGAAACCCCATCTCTACTAAAACTACAAAAAATTAGCTGGGCGTGGTGGCGCGTGCCTGTAATCCCAGTTACTCAGGAGGCTGAGGCAGGAGAATTGCCTGAACCCAGGAGGCGGAGGTTGCGGTGAGCCGAGATCTTGCCATTGCACTCCAGCCTGGGTAACAAGAGCGAAACTCCACCTCCCCAAAAAAAAAAAAAAAAAAAAAAAAAAAAAAGAAAATTTGGGTTAGGTCACCATTTAATTTATCTTTGGATATTTTATTTCACTTTTAATGTACTTTTCTTGTAGATTTACAAAACTGAGCAGTTCTTAATGTAAGGTGGCAGCTGGAAGGAAAAGATAGCATTTATAGATTATTTTTCAAAACATCTTTTATCCGTTTACTTAACACCTCTCCACAACAAACATCTTTTGGTAGGAAATAGTAAAAATTTATAAAATTGGCAAAATTTGCTTTCCCTTCTTACTGTTACCTAGTAGGATAAAAAAAAAAAAAAAACAGTTAAGAGAAAGGTTTAAATGGCTGCAAGCTACAAAAATTAAACAAATGAAATAAATGTTTTGAAAACAAATATCAGCTGAGACTTGATCCTAATGATTTCAAACTATTAGGAATACTAATTTAAATTTATTTTTAAACAAATAGAATTGGTATTTTAGCAGCTATCAGAAGAAAAGTTGCAGTAGACAATCAGGGACATTTTACTCAAGGCTATGGCAGTAGGGTAGAGTCAGTCTGAGCTCACCTCCAATTCAAAGAAAACACTGGAGGTTTCAAAAAGGTGCATTGAGAAAATCATGGGCCTTTTTTTTTTTGGATAATTTGCTGTGCCCCCTACCCCCTTTAAAATAAAGTAATCTTTAATATATATATTAAGATACAATAATGTGTGTGTATCTATATACATACATACATATATATATACACACACACACACATGATTGTATTTTAGGCTTTAGGGTACATGTGAATAACATACAGGATTGTTGCATGGGTATATATATATACAGGGCAATGTGGTTTGCTGCCTCCATCCCCATCACATGTATCTGGCATTTCTCCCCATGTTATCCCTCCCCAACTCCCTACCCCGCACTGTTCCTCCCTTAGTCCCCCCCAACAGACCTCAGTGTGTGATGATGCTCCCCTCCCTGTGTCCATGTGTTCTCATTGTTCAACACCCACCTATGAGTGAGAACATGCGGTGTTTGATTTTCTGTTCTTGTGTCAGCTTGCTGAGAATCATGGTTTCCAGGTTCATCCAAGTCCCCACAAAGGACACAAACTCATCGCTTTTTATGGCTGCATAGTATTCCATGGTGTATATATGCCATATTTCCCCGGTCCAGTCTATCATCTATGGGCATTTGTGTTAGTTCTGAATCTTTGCTATTGTAAACAGTGCTGCAGTGAACCTTAGTGTACATGTGTCCTTATAACAGAATGATTTATAATCCTTTGAATATATACCCAGTAATGAGATTGCTTGGTCAAATGGAATTTCTGTTTCTAGATCCTTGAGGAATTGCCACACTGACTTCCACATGGTTGAACTAATTTACACTCACACCAACAGTGTAAAAGTGTTCCTATTTCTCCACATCCTCTCCAGCATCTGTTGTCTCCAGATTTTTAATGATCGCCATTCTAACTGGCATGAGATGATGACATGGGTTGCTGTACAACTCGAAGCAAGGCATCCTACAGAAGTTATCCCTTCCCAGATAGTGGAAGTTGTTGATGCTTACATCATCCTCTGATGATTACATTTTGAGGAAATGACTTTCAGATCCTTGAGAAACAATCCTGGCTTGTAAAACTAGCAAGAAAGCTTTCAAAAAATTTACATCTCAAAGAAGCAGAGAAGTGATTTATAATTAAAGGGTATATATTTTTTTCAGGAGGAGTTCTTTTCTTTTAGGGGGGATGCTCTAAAAAGAGAGAGTTCTAGGACCAAAACTCAGGAAAACACCTGCCTAAGCTTTTGTCAAACTGAGGAGAACATGAAGTCTATCTTGGGAAGAGATAACCAGAAGGGATGGATGTGAAATTATTTGGACATTTCCTCTCTCTCTCTTTATCTTTCTCTCTATATATATACACACACACACACATATATATATATATACACACACACATATATATATATTATATATATATACATATATATGTTATATATATATTAACACACAAACATATATATATATATAATATGTATATATATATTTATTTTACTTTAAGTTCTGGGGTACATGTGCAGATCTTGCAGGATTGTTACATAGGTATACACATGCCATGGTGGTTTGCTGACTCCATTCCCCTGTTACCTACATTGGCATTTCTCCTAATGTTATCCCTCCCCAATCTCCCAACCTCTTACTATCCCTCCCCTAACCCCCTACCCCCAACAGACCCCAGTGTGTGATGTTCTCCTCCCTGTGTCCATGTGTTCTCATTGTTCGACACCCACTTATGAGTTAGAACATGCAGTGTTTGGTTTGGTGCTCTTGTGTCAGCTTACTGAGAATGATAGTTTCCAGATTCATCCATGTCCCTGCAAAGGACATGAACTCATCCTTTTTTATGGCCCCATAGTATTCCATGATGTATATGTGCCACATTTTCTTTATCCAGTCTGTCATTGATGGGCATTTGGGTTGGTTCCAAGTCTTTGCTATTGTGAATAGTGCCGCAATAAACATATGTGTGCATGTGTATTTATAGTAGAATGATTTATAGTCCTTTGGTTATATACCCAGAAATGGGATTGCTGGGTCAAATGGTATCTCTGGTTCTACATCCTTGAGGAATCACCACACTATCTTCCACAATGGTTGAACTAATTTACACTCCCACCAGCAGTGTAAAAATGTTTCTATTTCTCCACATCCTCTCCAGCATCTTTTGTTTCTTGACTTTTTAATGATCACTCTTTTAAATGGCATGAAGTGGTATCTCAATGTGATTTTAATTTGCATTTCTCTAATGACCAGTGATGATGAGCTTTTTTCATATGTTTGTTGGCTGTTTTTCATATGTTTGAAATGTGTCTGTTCATATGTTTTACCCACTTTTTGATGAGGTTGTCTTTTTTTTTTTCCTGTATATTTGTTTTAGTTCTTTATAGATTCTGGATATTAGCCCTTTGTCAGATGGGTAGCTTGCAAAAAAATTTTCCCATTCTGTTGGTTGTCAGTTCACTCTAATGATTGTTTCTTTCGCTATGAAGAAGCTCTTAAGTTTAATTAGATCCCATTTGTCTATTTTGGATTTTTTTGCCATTGCTTTTGGAGTTTTAGTCATGAAATCCTTGCCTATGCCTATGTCCTGAATGGTATTGCCTAGGTTTTTTCTAGGGTTTTTATGCTCTTAGGTCTTATGTTTAAACCTTTAATCCATCTGGAGTTTATTTTTGTATAAGGTGTTAAAGAAGAGATCTAGTTTCAGCTCTCTGCACATGGCTAGCCAGTTTTCTCAACACCATTTATTAAATAGAGAATCTTTTCCCCATTGCTTGTTTTTGACCCATTTGTCAAAGATCAGATGGTTGTAGATGTCTAACATTACTCCCAAGGCCTCTGTTCTGTTCCATTGGTCTATATCTCTGTACTCTGTTCTGTTCCATTGGTCTATATCTCTGTTGTGGTACCAGTACCATACTGTTTTGATTAGTGTAGCATTATAGTACTATTTGAAATCAGGTAGTGTGATACCTCCAGCCTTGTTCTTTTTTCTTAGGATTGTCTTGGCTATGTGGGCTCTTTTTTGGTTTCATATGACGTTTAAGGTGGTTTTTCCAGTTCTGTGAAGGTCAATGGTAGTTTGATGGGAATAATATTGAATCTATAAATTACTTTGGGCAGTATGGCCATTTTCATGATATTGATTCTTCCTAACCATGAGCATGGAATGTTTTTTGATCTGTTTGTGTCCTCTCTTATTTCCTTGAGCAGTGGTTTATAGTTCTTTGAAGAGGTCTTTCACATCCTCTGTTAGTTTTATCCCTAGGTATTTTATTCTCTTTGTAGCAATTGTGAATGGGAGTTCACTCATGATTTGGCTCTTTGTTTGTCTGGCATTGGTGTATAGGAATGCAATCTTAAGCTTAAAGATACGCATTGCTAGATATACTGATAGGTAGAACATATCTTATCAGGGACTAAAGTAAATCAGCTTACTGTCTCTTTGTTTCCAAAATAGTCTGTTTACTACAAATAAGAGCAAAAAGTGACAGATTTTTATACCCTTCCTTTGAAATCATTCTCTGAAAACAGTTTTTTAAATGTTAAGAATCATCGTAATCCTAAAATTCCCATTAGGAATGAGAAATTGACACATACTAAATACGTACAACTCTGCTGTGTGAATCAGCCATATTGGCCGTAAAACCAAATTTTCCATTCCCCTCTTTGAAGGGAGAGCAACTTTGGTTTACACCAGAGATTTATCTCTTCCCAGTTTGCAAACTGATATCACCAGTAAACCTCTCCTTTATACTCTTTAGCCAATCCGTTGGTCTTCAAACAGCCAGGACTCTCAATGATTATTCCCTATTGTTCTCAATGTGATGTCTCTGGTGAAGTGCAATTTGTGATTCTTTTTCCATACAATTATTTTAGAAAATTAGGAATGTATTATTTATGTATTACAGAATTGTGAGGTAGTTGTTTTGATTTTTTTTTTTTTAATGCTTAGTTCTCTTTAGGACTCAGAGAGAAGATAGATATCCATGATAGAATGGATATTGTATTGATCATCATTCTCAGCATCCTATATTTTGTCTCTCCTTGAAGCTTTGTGAGTGTGTTAATGCTTGTGGCATCTGGCTAACTCTTCATTGAAGATGAGTTCTTTCCAAGTGATAGGGTTTGGCTCTGTGTCCCCATGCAAATCTCATCTTGAATTGTACTCCCATAATTCCCACATGTTGTAGGAGGGAACTGGTGGGATAAAATTGAAATCATTGGAGCAGTTCCTCATACTGTTCTCATGGTAGTGAAGAATAAGTCTCAAGAGATCTGATGGTTTTATTAGGTGTTTCCACTTTCGCATCTTCCTCATTTCCTCTTCCCACCATCATGTAAGAATGGCCTTTCACCTCCCACCATGATTCTGAGACCTCTGCAACCATGTGGAACTGTATGTCCAATTAAGTCTCTTTTCCTTTCCAGTCTCAGGTATGTCTTTATCAGCAGCATGAAAATGAACCAATACAATAAACTCGTACCAATAGAGTGAGTCATTGCTGAAAAGATACCTGAAAATGTGGAAGTGACTTTGGAACTGATAATAGTCAGAAGTTGGAACAGCTGGGAGGTCTCAGAATAACATAGAAAAATGTGGCAAAGTTTGGAACCTCCTAAAGATTTGCTGAATGGCTTTGACAAAATGTTGATAGTGACATGGACAATAAGGTCTAGGCTGAAGCAGTCTCAAATGGAGATGAAGTACTTGTTGGGAACTGGAGTGAAGGTAACTCTTGTTATGTTTTAACAAAGGGACTGGTAACATTTTGACCGTGTCCTAGATATTTGTGAAACTTTGAACTTCAAGAAGATAATTTAGGGTATCTGGGAGAAGAAATTTCTAAGCAGCAAAGCATTCAAGAAATAACTTGGGTGCTCTTAAAAGCATTCAGTTTTAAAAGGGAAACAGAGGATTAAAGTTTGAAAAAATTGTAGCCTGTAAATGCAATCAAAAAGAAAATCCTATTTTCCGAGGAGAAATTCAAGCTGGCTGTAGAAATTTGCATAAGTAATGAGGAGGCAAATGTTAATCCTCTAAACAATGAGGAAAATGTCTCCAGGGCATTTCAGATGTCTTCATGGCAGCTCCTCTCATCACAGGCCCAGACACATGGGAGGAAAATGTGGTTTCCTAGGCAGGGCTCAGGGTCCCTGAGCTGTGTGCAGCCTAGGGGTTTGGTGCCTTTGTGTCCCAGTCACTCCTGCTCTGGCTAAAAGGAGCCAACGTAGAGTTCAGGCCATGGCTTCAGATGATTCAAGCTCCAAGCCTTGGCAGCTTCCACTTGGTGTTGAGCCTGCCAGTGCACAGAAGTCTAGGACTGGGAACCTCTGCATAGATTTCAGAAGATGTATGGAATTGCTTGAATGCCTAGGAAGATGTTTGCTGCAGGGTGAGGCTCTCATGGAGAATCTCTGCTAGGACAATGCAGAAGGGAAATGTGGGATTGGAGCCCCCACGCAGAGTCCCTACTCGGGCACCACGTAGCAAACCTGTGAGAAGAGGACCACCATCCTTAAGACCCCAGAATGGTAGATCCCCTGACAGCTTTCACTGTGCACCTGGAAAGGCTGTAGACACTCAATGCCAGCCCTTGAAAGCAGCCAGGAGGAAGGCTGTACTATGAAAAGCCACAGGGTGGAGCTGCCCAAGACCAGGGGAACCCACCTCTTGCATCAGAGTGACCTGGATATGAGACACGGAGTCAAAAGAGATCATTTTGGAGCTTTAAGATTTGACTGTCCTGCTGGATTTCAGACTTGTATGGATCCTACAACCCCTTTGTTTTGGCCAATTTCTCCCATTTGGAATGGCTATATTTACCAAATACCTGTACCTCCATTGTATCCAGAAAGTAACTAGCTCCCTTTATATTTTACAGGCTCATAGATTGAAGGGACTTGCCTTGTCTCAGGTGTGACTTGGGTTAATGCTGAAATGAGTTAACACTTTGGGGGACTGTTGGGAAGGCATGATTTGTTTTAAAATGTGAGGACATGAGATTTGGAGGGACCAGGAGCAGAATGATATGGTTGAGCTTTGCGTCCGCACCCAAATCTTGTCTTGAATTGTACTCTCATGATTCCCATGTGTTGTGGGAGGTAATTTGAATCATGGGGATGGTTTCCCTCATACTGTTCTCATTGTGGTGAATAAGTCTCAGGAGATCTGATGATTTTATCAGGGATTTCCGTTTTGCACCTTCCTCATTTTCTCTTGCCACCACCATGTAAAAATTACCTTTTGCCTCCTGCCATTACTATGAGGCCTCCCCAGCAATGTGGAACTATAACTCAAATTAAACCTTTTTTTCTTCCCAGTCTTGAGTAATTCTTTATCAGCAGCATGAAAAATGACTAATACAACAATTTTTTATTTCTTTATAATTAACTGTGATAGTTTCTTCATTTTTAATGTGGCTTCTTATACAGAAACTTTAGAAAAAACACAATATTTAAATAGAAATTCATGTCATGGAGGTAAGATAGTGAAGTTTTCATGTCTAAGAATACCAACTTCTATTTTTACTGTGTAACCTAGTAGCCATAGAAAACTACTTGATTACTGTGAGACTGTTCAATCATCTGTAAAATACAGTTAGTAATAACTTCTTGAAAAAGTTGTTGCAGGAGTTGAACATTATAATAATTATGAGTATGTTTGCTGTTGTGCTCGGGACATAGTGAGCATTTACTGCATTGTTATGTTCTCCCATTATTCTGACTCTCAAAAATTAAGGTTATTTGCAAATCAGACACATGTCAAAATAAGACAACTAGGAAAATTTAAATAAAAATAAACTTACCAAATTTAGGTTATTTTCTTCTATTTAGCCCCTCCCATAGTTACATTTTGAATAAACCACTTATCACATTTTGTCTTGAATTATAATTTTAATGTTATCTCATGTCTCCTGATACATTATGAAATTCTTAATGGTTACAAAGTAAAAAATATCTCTATGTTTTTACAAAGTAAAAAATATTCTGAAGAATGCTCTTGTAAAGAGATTTGCCCAAAGTACATGCTTAATAAGTATTTTTTGTGTTTTTAATTTGTGACTGTAGCCCTTTAAATTTACAGATTCCTCTCAGTCATATAGTTTTTAAAACAATAAAGCACAACTTATTTTAGCAGCATTTTGCCAGGAAGAATTGATCATATTCACCTTAAGAAATATTCTCATTTTGTTGTATTTTGTTCAATTTAATTTTAATCATCAGTATTTCCAAATGCATGCAAACATGAATCTCATTTATTTTGTATGCCCAGGTGTCTTTTAAATATATTGCTTCTGTTGTATGGGACAACCAAGATAAATTATATCGTATTATTATGCAAGACAGAGCAACAGAGTACCATTGGGCCCTATTCACTCAATTTTTACATGTCTTTCATGAGCTTACACAGATATGAGCAGGAAATTTATACATTCAGAAAGAGTTATGTATCCCAACCATATAAATTTGCTATTCTTTCTTTAAGCAGAGCACAGGATTTGCTGCATGCAGCCTCATTAACGATCTGTCTCGGGGTAAAGAAATCACCAAGGAGATCAAGTTGGCAAGATTTTTGCTTCAGTAAGTAACAGCACTCATAGGAGAGAAATTCTAAAGTTTCCAAATATGCCATATGCATATTAGAACAGTTAGGAGAAATCGTAAGCAATGACTCCCTTAAGCCCCATTAAACTCCAGGTTAGTCAAATTAGAAACCTTTCCTTGAAGAACAGACAAGCATATCTAGAAAGCCATGAGTATTAAGAGTCTTGGATTCTACCCTTGTTCTTCTTCCTGACTCAATGTAATTTAAACAAGTTGTTTGAAGATTATTTTCCCTTTTTATTCGTTCCAGAAAGTCAGGATTAAGAATTAGAAATCTTTCATTATATGGAAAAAAAACAATGAAGAAGAAATAAAGTAGGATTTAGTTTCCCATGTAAAAAATCACTTAATGAAAAAGTAAACAGCTGACAATAAGATGAACAGTATAGAAATTGAGACCTCTTGGACTGTTATCTAAAGAATTGAAAAATGTGGCACATTCAACACATGACTTAGTGGCATCTGAAAATACATTGGCAAATAAATGATTACTAAGTTTGGCACAATTGATTGCCTTAGAGATTTTATTATTATTTTTAATTATTTTCATATACTGAACATACCCAACCTATCTTCCAACAATAGCAACAATAGCAAAAGGGGAGAGAATAATTATTTTTAAAAGAGGGGAGAATAGAGGCTCTTTAACATTATATTTCTTGGTTTCATCATGACAGTGGATTTGCAAAAGAGAATAGAAAGTATTTATTTCCTAATTTAGACAACTCTGGGAACTGAGAGAGGGAAGGCTATGATATTAGCTCTGAGAAAATGTTCTTGCTGTTGCTTGAGCTGCAGCTCTTTCAGGAAAACCACAAAGACAGGACTAATTTAGAAGTAACTAATATTTATACATTGATATCATTGTGTTATTTAATCCTCATTAACCATGAGGTAAACTTCATTATGCCAATTTTACAGATGAAGAATTAAAGTCTCAGAAAAGGTAAAATAATTTTTTAAAAGTCACATACCATTATAACAGTCTTTGCAAAAATTCTAATGGTGAGAAAATGACAGTGAAAGAGATCTGACCTAACCAATTCCAATTTTCCTTTAACCTCCAAATAGCCCTTGTTGATTCCTGAGCTTAGTTTGAGCTAACTGGAGGGGGAATTTCGTTTATAGTTTGTAACAATACTAGCTTAATGTTATAGAACAGCAGAAATTTTTGTTTCCTGAAACAAACCCCCATCTTCCCCCTCTTGCCTGTGAACCAGACCACCTTTGGAGAACTAACCAGTTAGCCACAAGATTAGAAATTAGGGCTTAGGAGTCATGCAGACAGAGGCCACAAGATTCCTAGTATTCCCAAATGCTCCTCTAGATAACCTCACTGTTGTAAAACCTTAGATTGGGCTGAAGACATTTTTCAGAGTCTACATTCTGATGGACCAGTTGGCACCACCTGGAACAGTAATCTGGCTCAACTAGTTCTGTGATCCTACCCAGAAACAGAAGGCAGCAAGAAGAACCCACTTTGACTCCCTGTGATTTCGTCTCTGACTCATCAGCAGCCCTTATTCGCTACAGCTGCCCAACAAACTATCTTTTTGTAATTTTTTTATTTGTAAATACTTTTTAGTTTTTTTATTTTTAAATACTCTTTAGGCAATATTATGTTTTGCACAAATTTCTAGAATGGCAATGCTGCACTACAGAGAATAGTATTATATACGGTCAAAATTTCTATTGTTCTGTAACATTAAGCTACCATTGTTACAATAATAATAATTTTATTATTATTACTTTTTATTTCAGTTCAGGAGTACATGTGCTGGCTTGTTACATATCCAACCTATCTTCCAACAGATTATTTCATCATCCAGGTACATTAAGCCTAGTACTCATTAGTTATTTATCCTGATCCTCTTCTTCCTTCCATCCTCCACCCTCCAATAGGCTCCAGTGTGTGGTGTTATCCTCTCTGTGTCCACGTGTTCTATCATTTACCTCCCACTCATAATTGAGAACAAGTGGTATTTGGTTTTTTGATCCTGTGTTAGTTTGCTAAAGATAATGCCTTCCAGCTCCATCCAAGTCCCTGCAAAACACATAATCGTATTTTTTATGGCTGTATAGTATTCCATGGTGTATATGTACCACATTTTCTTTATCTAGTCTATCAATAATGAGCAGTTAGGTTGATTCCATGTCTTTGCTATTGTGAATAATATTGCAATGAACATATATGTATGCATGTCTTTATAATAGAATGATTTATATTACTTTGGGTATGTACCTAGTAGTGAAATTGCTGGGTTAAATGGTAGTTTTCTCTTTAGGTCTTTGAGGAATCACCACACTGTCTTCCTCAAAGGTTGAACTAATTACACTCTCACCAACAGTGTATAAGCACTCCTTTTCCTCCACATCCTAGCCACCATCTTTTATATTTTGACCTTTCAATAATAGCCATTCTGACTGGTATGTGATGGTATCTCATTGTGGTTTCAATGTGCTTTTCTCTAATAATTGATGATGTTGAACTTTTTTTTCAAATGATTATTGGACTCATGTGTGTCTTCTTTTGAAAAATGTCTGTTCATATCCTTTGCCCACTTTTTAATGAGGTTGTGTTTTCTTGTAAATTTGCTTAAGCTCCTTATAGAAGCTGGATATTAGACCTTTATAGGATGCATAGTTTGCAAAACTTTCTCCCATTCTGTATGTTGTCTCTTTACTCTGTTGATCATTTCTTTTGCTGTGTAGAATTTTTTTTATAATTAAGTCCAATTTGTTAATTTTTGCTTTTGTTGAAATTGCTTTTGCTATCTTCATCATGAAGTCTTTGCCTATGTCCTGAATGGTATTAACTAGGCTGTCTTCCAGAGTTTTTATAGTTTGGGGTTTTACATTTAACTCTTTAATCCATCTTGTGTTGATTTTTGTGTATATTATAAGGAAGGGATCCAGTTTCAATCTTTTGTATATGAGTAGCCAGTTACCTTTAAAATACCCTAGCCTCCACATTTTTGAAGAGGGTAATTTAAGTAATAATATAACTTTTTCTCCCATTTAGCTAGCGCTACCTATATCATACTATTTCTCTGTTGCAATTCACCTGTCTTGATAAATAGGCTTTATCTGAACAGCTGCCAAGATGAAGCCATGGGGCAGTTATATCACATTTCTTTTTTACATCTAGAATTCAGTTTTCTTGATAGCACAGTACAAGTTTTTTTCTAAATCTATATAATAACATTTAAAAAAAATTATTGAGTATACAAAGATAACACCCTAAAAGATTATTATTTAGAAAATACCACAAAATATATGTATAAAATATGCTAACTCGATGCTTTTGTGAAAGAATGTGAGTCTACCCAAATTAAACATATCCAAGATGCATATTTTTAAAAATAGGCAAACTAATAAAAAAGTAAAGAAATGTATGTCAAAAAATACCTGGAGTATTAGTGAAATAAATCATTTAGTTTCTCTGTTTTCTAATAGCTAACAAGTACTTTAGTTGTGCTATAAGAAAATATATAACTGAAAAATATATTTTCTCCTAATATTAAAAATGAGTAATATTTGTTGTTTTTTTTTATAGAGGAGACAACAGATGTATAACAAAAAGGACATCCTATTATAGTTATGTCAGAAGACATATTATTAAAATGTACATGTAATCTTTGTATATTTGTAACAATAAAGACTCCAAAATATATTTTTAATCAGTAAAGCCAGTTCTAGGGAATTCACAATAATATAACCTCATCTTATTTCCTTAGATTATCTAGATCCACATTTCTTTGAATATACTCTAAAAAAACTGGTTTGGCAGGATTATAACAGAGATTATATTATTATATTAAGAAGCATCCCATGATAAATAAGCTTGGAAATTGTAAGTCAAATTAAATAGTTTTATTTACTTCAGGGTGACCAGATCTTAATTTATGATAGTGGATACTTAAAATTTTTGGAGGCAATTATGGCTTGCAGCATTTCTCAAGATCATTTTACCATACAAACATTTATTTTGGAGCATCTTTTGAATATCTGCTTTGAAAAGTAAAGGT